AGTGACTTATAAAGTCGGCTCCAATAATTCCACTCGTAACGTCGGCAATGAGRAAGTTCCAAAGGAATTCTCGTCTTAAGCCTAAATTGATTTTAAGAAGTACTTCGCCGTATACGGTAATTGGGGTGCCGTTTGCCGCGAACAGTTTAACGGTTGATGGGTTCATGTTGTTGTTTCGAGTGGTTTTGGGAATTACCGATGCGTCTGCCCCGGTGTCTATTAAAAAGTTGTATTGAGAAAGTCCGTCGAAGAGTTTCAAGCGGTGTGTGACTGCAGCAGTTCCGCTACCGATAGGCGCTGCAGTTTTCGTTTCGGATAGTCATTCGCTCTTTTGCCTGCTATTATAAGAGCAGGGTTTCCTACAAGTTCGAGCGTTRGCCCCAAATTTRTGGTGATACCAGCATAATTCGGGTGCCTGTGCGCTCTCCTGGCGTGTATTTCGTTCTTGTCTCGGTCGGCTTCGGCTGCGGCTTCGTGATCGGTGCGTTTTTATGGATTCGATTTGCCTCGTCAGTTGCGCGATTTCCTTTCCTAATTCCTCTAGCGTGGTTGGCTGTGGTTGATTGTTAGTTTGCGTGGGGTTGCCTGTTGCCAGTGCTTGGTTACCTACCATGCTAATTTGTCGAAAATTCATGGAGTCCGCTATGGCGTCTGCAATAGTTACTTTGTCTGCCACGTCCCCTTTTGAAGCGATAACAGCAGCTTGAGCGTGAGGAGGTAGACGCGAGGCCYAGAGGTCGATTATTACTGTCTCGCAAAGTGCTGTGCCGGCCACCCGGCGCATTTCGTTGAAAAGTTGACTTGGTTTCAAGTCGCCAAATAGCATATCGGAAAGTACACGTTGTACGCGTCGTTGTTGGCTATCCGCGAATTGGGCTATAAGTTTGGACTTGATGTAGTCGTAACGATTTATTGAAGGAGTAGAGTCGATTATGGCCTTCAGYTCCATTAGCTTGCTTGGTGGAACCTGCGCCATGACCAGATTGTATTTTCGTGCATCGTGAGTCACACCTGTAGCAGCGAACCAGAATTCCAGTGACAAAAAATAAGACTCGATGTTGGTGTCATTCATATTAGGCGGGCTAATGCGAGGAACCATTGCTGCATCCACGTGCAGATCGGGCTGATRCACTTCGATTGCTGATCKGGCCAGAATGMYATGAGGTTGATTCGCCTGCGCTGCCGGTCGTACGCTCGCGGGCGAAGATGTCTGCGCGGTGCTTTCGCCTTGCTGTTCCATCTGTAGATTCGTTTCACTTGTTCGGGGTCACCAGTTTTGGATGTTTRTTGCTTTATTTAAAGATTAACTTAAATVTTAGTTGACAATATTAAATGTTGTTTGCGACACGTCCGTTCTGCATGACGGTATGCAGAAAAAAGGGAAGAATGATAGAATTCTGGGAAACGGGTTGCTTACAGCTAGAATGAAAAAAGGTAGTGCAGCGTTGCTAAAGGATAGTATTGTAAACGTAGCAATGGGTTGCTTATAAGCGGTGAATACGGCGTTGCCACATATATATAATATATAAAATACCAGGTGTACAGGAATGAAGTGAGAGTTAATCTGTGTTGGTATGGAATTTTCGTTTTGAA